GGCAGTTATTGATAGTGCCAACAAATATTAGAGAATCGCAAATAGTCAACCGCTATAAAGGATATCTCAAAAAAGGTGAAAAATGTTATGGTTGATGACTCCCTTGTCACAGAGTTTCCGAGAAGTACCATTCTGTGAAGCTAGCTTCAGCTCAGATTTGCACTATGGCGCGAACCACCGATCGCTCTTCATTAGTGTAAGATTAAGGCAAGAACTTCAAACCTTTAGAATAGTATTATAGAATAAGTAGAATATGGCATTTCAGGATTTGAGTCCTGAAGGGCCATGTTCTACCCCAGAAAGGAAAAGAGACGACCCGGAAACTTTCACACTAGGCTAATTGGAGTCGCTGATTCCAAATATGAAGTTAGCATCTTATCATAATGCTTTCTTCACAAGTCATGCCAAAGCAGCAGCAACCGTTTTCTCGATGTTCCTACGAACGTGATTACACCGTTAAGAAACTTCACAATCTTGTTCTAAGTTGAGCATTGAACTGTGCATGAAAAACACCTTACAAGGGCTCCAGATTTTTTGAACTTATTCAAAAAAGGCAACCATTCAGTAAGTCCAGGATGAAGCCAGCTCACAAAATGGTACCTAAGGCTTTTCGAAAGACTCTATGACACGAAGGTTTAACGATCAAATGTTCCTCCATTTTCTGGAACGCCCTTATTATAAGGTAAATATCAAATAATGATTCCCTTGAGACTATCGTGAGAGTAGGAATAACGCCAAGAGACAAGCGACAGATTCTTTTGAAAACCGATACTCGAAAGCAATCTGCGACTATGTCATGGAAAAAGAAGAAAATTAATTGTAATTTCAAGCCATACCGAACATTATAGGTTAAAGCAGCCGCTGACATTGACAGAAAAAATTCTGTACTCACATTTGGATCAGCCAGAAACAGAATCGATTGAACGTGGAGAATCTTATCTTCGGCTGCGTCCGGATCGTGTTTGCATGCAAGATGCCACAGCACAAATGGCCATTTTGCAATTCATCTCCTCTGGACTTCCAAAGGTGTCCCATACTTTTTCATTCCCTAAAGTGAGCCCACCATAAAAGATAGATTATAGGTCTCTGTGCCAACAACCGTCCACTGTGACCATTTGATTCGCGCCGCGGAAGGGAGTAAACCGGACACAGAGAAATCAAAGGTGAGGACATGAATCACCATTAAATACCAATCCCTCAGAAATCTTGTGGATTTTACCCAAACTGCGCGGCGACTGCCCGCAAGCACCAAATTACCAGTTAATAGCGTAAATATCGATTCAGCAGTTTTGCGGAGTCTACTTGATATATAAGACACTCTACGTCGGTAAGATGTTTTTAGTGCCTTACGTAAATCTGCCGGCACGGTGGGCGGAGAGGGGACGGGGAAGGGCGTCGAAACACCATACTGACATACAATAACTATCCCGCATCCGATAAAAAATATAGCTGTTTTTACTGCAATGTATAGCAGGCGACATCCTTCTGTATGCTTATCGTACCGATTGACTACAGTAACGAAATAAATCAAAATGATGACTGCATATTGCGAAAAAATTAGCTCTGCATGGAGGCGATTGTACAGTCTTGATTAATTCTACTTCCTTACAGAAAATCAACAAAGAAGTCTTTGACTTCTTAGCGTCGGCTTCGAACAAGTTCGGTATAGGTTTCTGGAGTCCCGGCTCAGGCATCATTCATCAGACTTTCTTCGAGAATTATGCTTTTCCTGGGCTTTTAGTTATTGGAACAGACTCTCATACTCCTAATGGAGGTTGGTTTATTGATCCATTATTTTTTAGTCCATTCTCTTCTTTACTACTTCATTCAAGGTGGACTCGCTGGTCTGTGCGTTGGAGTGGGCGGTGGCGACGCCGTAGATGTGATGGCTGGCATACCATGGGAGCTGAAGTGCCCAAAAGTTATCGGAGTAAATTTGACAGGAAAGCTTTCTGGATGGACTGCCCCCAAGGACATTATTCTCAAGGTACGCTAACATTTTTATAGTAGGTTCAACATAAGTTCTCATTCCAGGTATGCGACATACTCAAAGTAAAAGGTGGCACCGGTGCCGTTGTCGAATACTTTGGTCCTGGAGTAGAATCCCTTTCCGCCCCTGGTATGGGAACTATCACTAACATGGGTGCTGAGGTTGGAGCGACGACCTCAGTGTTTCCGTACACTAAGG